TCAAATAAGTTCAGTTAAGTTTTATTAAAAGCCAAGCAAACATTAAAATACTGAAACAGAAAATCGTTTTCCAACCCCTTTTTTGCTCCATTTTGTACAAATCACAGTTGTTCAAAAATATTACAAACGATTCAGTAAAACTTTTTTTTTTTCTTTATTCTTTTTTGCAACAGCAGCAAAACATTCTGATTTTATATTTTAAAAGCCCTTAGTAGTGTGTATGGTGTGTGTGTGTCTGTGTGCTTTTTCTGGTTCAGAACAAGAACAATGATTACAGAACAGGTATCAGAAACAATAATCAAGAAGTTAAAAAGAAAACCACAAAGTGCAAAACAGCTTTAAATAGTCACAGATTTGAAAGAGGAAGAGAGGTCAAGGGTAGGGTCAACAGTCGGTGACACCTACCTCACCTCAAGAAGACAAAAAATGGCAAGGACACCTCACCACAAGTGGAAAGAGGGACAGTGTCTGCCAAAGGGCATACAAGTGCTCCACTATAATTGACAGATGTTGTTCAGTAATACGGCCCTTTTCTTTCATGCAGATGAAGGTGGATTTCAGAGCACAGAAAGGAAGTTGGTTGGAGAGTCCCTCTGTTGAAACAAAGAAACTAACAAGGGCTTGAAGTGGTCTCTGCCTATGACCTGAGGTCAGATTGTTAATTTTACAAGCAGGAGGTTTGTGATTAACCTTTCCAGTTTATTACTAATATTGAGTGTTTTCATTAAAAAAAAAATCAGACAATCACAATAACAGCTCTCTGGTATTAGTATTTTGCAAAACAAAAAACACCTAAACCAAAGTCATATTCCAAAAAGAATGTTGTGTAACATATCTCCCCTGTCCTACACCAATTTATATTACCTTTAGCCTTGTAAAAATAAAAAAAATAAAACCTTGACCTTCAGTTGACTGAAGAGGGTGCAAGTGTGCCTCTGACCAAACGCTTATAATCACTGTTCACAACAAGCACGGGTTTCCACTCAGCTCAGCACTATCAAAGACTGATGAAAACATCTAAAATGTTAGGGGGGAAAGCATAAAAATATTTCACATCATCACTCAAAGAACAGAGGGTATTGCTACATGCTGGCCACAGGCATGCAGCAATAGGCCTACAGTGGTCTGATGGCTATCAGCTAAAGTTTGTGGTGTTGTTTGTGTTTGTGTGTGTGTGTGTGTGTGTGTGTGTGTGTGTGTGTGTGTGTGTGTGTGTGTGTTAGTGCACTACAATTACCTTGATCAAAACTAAAGGCAGTGACCTCTCTTCAGAAAGATTATTTTTTCAATTAAAGGCACGGTAACACAACAATAGACCACAATTCTCAAGTGCTCTCACGTTTCTTTTAAACTAGTGGGATTCTAATGCTGAACTGTTATTAAATAAATAGAACTACAACCACAATGTGTCATTAATAATGAACATGATAAACATTTAGTATAACATTAAGTATCTGTAAGGGTTTTGGATGGACTTTTTAAAAGTTGTAATAAGGGCTCAGATTTTTTTAATTATTTCTTTTTTTCAATAACATGATGAAAGTGCATGATAATTCCTTATTAATGAAAGCTACTGTTATTCATAAATTATAATTACATACACGTTAGCGCTTAGACCATTCTCATGCACATCTTGCCTGTAAACGTGCACCGGTAAATACTTTACAATTTGTTAAATTGAAAGAAAATCCACAAAGAATATAATTTGTATCAAATTTGAAGCTAAAGTGCATATTCAGCAAGCAGTTATACTGTCTTTCCTGTTGTTAGTCACTAAGTCAATCTCTCAATTTAAAGCGGTTGTTCACCCAAATATGAACATTCTGTCGTCATTTACTCACCCGGACGTCATTTCAAACTTGTATGACCTTTTTTTCCCCTGTGGAACATAAAAAACATGTTTTGAAAAAAAAATTTGTCCATACAATAAAGTTGAGTTGGATGCCTTTGACTTCATGGATGCCACACACTTCTTTTGTGTTCTTCAGAAGAAATAAATTCATATAAAACATGTTGAAACAACAGGAGGGTGAGCAAATGACAGAATTTGCATTTGGGTTGAACAATCCTTTTGAGGGCTAATAGACCTTTCTAATACTGTTTATTTGAAATCTACTAAACCACCTAATTTCAGCAGAAAAACACATCACATGTCCTTGAAGTCAATGAAGGCAAATTCGATTAAAGCACAAGGTACAAAGACTTTGAGCAACCGACATAAAAGTCTTGTAAGTATGAGGGATTTTTTTTTTACGTAAGCACAAAATACGTAGGGCCATAAGGAGCACCTTTTTAATGGAAGAAACCATTCCATGCTACAAAATGTTTTCAAAAGCCGTAGTTTAGAAACAGTCAATGCCATGCACATCAAAGGCAGACCAACTCTAAAATAAAAGTGCAAAAGCAAATAGTCAAAGAACAAAAAGTGCTAACAAGCCCAACAACGTTTTCCATCCCAACAAGCATGCTGATGTGTTCTCGAATTGTTCTTCTTTAACTGTAAGGGGCAGACAGGAGAGCTGCGATTAAGTACATAATTTATCGCAGAGCCAGTCTGCAAATACACACTAAGGTCTTACATTCGTTATTTTACTAACTATTAAGCCTTTAGGCATAGTGCGGCATCTATAAACATTAATTTATTTGTCTGCCCCTATAAATACAGCATCTTAGTGGGATGAACCTACAAAAGTGCCCCTACGAGTGAAGATGGTAGCATACATCCATACAGCGTCTGCTCTCCGTTTCCCTCTTTTTTTGTAATTTATTTATTATTTTGTGTGCAGATCGGCCTGTCTGAGCACATGGGCTCTCTGCGTGTCTATTTTTGTAGCTGATGATGATTTCAGCTCGTCTGGTGTGAAAAGCAGGGTGCAGCCTTGAGGAAGCGAAATCAGAAAGCCAGAAATAGAAAAAGGGTGGCATGGAAAACTTAAAATGTCTCCGATTTCTCACTCACCTCCAAAGTAGTTATTAAAAACACTTTTGTTAAAAGGCACGAAACAGGCAAAACAAACATGCTTCACCGAGAAATACTTGGAATGTAGGGAAAGTGTAACAATGGTCGTAGGCACTCATGTTTTCAGATGGAAGGCAGTCGAGACAGACTCTAGCAAACGGATGCTAACAACACTTCACAGCGCATGCACGTCTGAAAGAGGAACCAAACCGAGAGTGGCTGTTAGCATATCACTGTCAATTTAACCACAAAACCTGTTTCAAAGCTTGAAATCGAAAGATTTTCAATCAAAAAAGAAGGATACACTTTTGATTTACAGCTTATGTTGGGATATTCTGTTATTAAGATTGTCAAAACAGGTAAACTCGTGTAAAGAGGCGGTAACACTACACTTTTCCTTCCATTCATACGCATGCAAATGTTGGATACTGGAAACACAACGTTCCAAGTTTGGTGAACTCTGACCTGCAAATTTGTATCATGTTTAGACGTGACCAATAGAAGATCATTACGTCATGGCTTGACAGCTTAGTGGAATTAAACAAACACAAACTTTAAATTTGCAGGTTCGCATCACTGCAGAATTGTTTTTTTTTTTTTTTTAAAGACACCACATAGCGTGACATCACATCACAACTGTTGCTCAAAGTCTAGTGTAACCGCCCCTTAAAGATATAATGGGTGAATGGTTGAACGCTGTGACATTTAGCAGGTTAATCCTGAGCACCGATTGTATCTGCGTATGTAAAGTGCAAAGTGAAGCATCACATTGCAACGTATCAAACACTACAGGAAGTGGATCGATAGTTTCTGCCTCAGTTTGGCTAACTGCAGAGGTAGAGGAGCAGAGGAGTAACAGAGGGGAGTGGCGAAGGAATACCAAACATTGCAACCTACTTATTGGTTCGCCAATAGCTAAGATTGAAGTAGTGCTACAAAAATGAGTGCATTTCACAAGGATGTGAAGATCTGAAACAGGATTGACAAACAAATGAGTAGCTAATACTTTCGAAAGCAGGGTAAACTCAGAAGGCATGGGCGTCCCCCAGTGGTGGAGGTGAAAGGCAAGCAAGTGGAGGAGCTTGCTAGTGGTCATATCACAAAGCTCAATCTACAGAACGTCATATAACAGCTGTGACTGTTAATACTCTCCTGGCAGTGGTAAAATAGCCCTAATTTTGTAGTTTACTTGCTGTCAAGTTTTTGTTTCTGCAGATTTTGGTAAGGCGTCTGTGTTTGAATGAGTTGTCTGTGTGTATGTCTGTCTTTGGTGCTGGCCTGGAGTTTTTTAGTAAGTGACAGACCTGAACTACACACCCCTTCTGTTCTACCACATGAGCAAATTTTAGGAACAGGACAAGCAATCTGAAAAACAGTTCTTCAGTAGGCAACACAATTGGTATTCAGAGCCAATATGGGGCAATGGAAGATCCAAAATGGAGAATTGTTTTTAGTGAGAATGTAGGTAGGCAAGGGCAATAACCCCTTTATTTAAATATATATATATATATATCCATATATATCCCTGCCACCATTTTAGTTGCTAGTTGTATTCAAAGCTAAGCTATGTTTCAGCTTGTAGGCATTGAACATGACGGTTTTCCCAGAAATAGGTCTCACAGAGAAAAGCTCGACACAGCAGCACCATGCAGCATCCGTGTGCCTGGGCGCCAGCGCTCAGACGGGGTGCTGGTGTGAGTGTGTGTGTGGTCTTGTATAATAATAACAGTCTTAAGAGGCGAAAGCAGGCCACTGCAATGATGGCGTTCCCTGTGTGATGCTGCGGCGAGACCTGTTGCATTCGCACAGTAGAACATGTAACATCGAGAGTGAGAAAGATTTGAGACTTTCTCCGAGCTGTCTCCCATTTAATGACACATACGCTTTGAGCTCTCGTGGCGGGCAGCCCGCTAAGGCCCAACGCGGGAGGGAAGGTTAAAGCTCAGAGGCAGAGAAGACCCAGACACACTTCCAGCAGTCGGGATGGATGCACAGAAACAGGGCTCCCCAGGCTTGGTTACATGCCTCTGGACTGAGATGAGGGAGAGGGGTACAGGGGGTTTGAATGGATGGATGGAGGCAGACCTTCAGGAAATGTGGGGTGCTGAGGAGGATGGATGTCTCCAGAAGCACCAGCTGCGTTTGGTGTGCTGCTTGCGTAAGATCTCCTCCTCGCGCTCTCGCTCTTTTTGAGAACGGAGGTAGCGGTCCTCCTCCTTCAGGAACCAGACAGGGGGCCAGCGATGCTTCTCAAAGTGTTTCTGGTTTTCTGGAAGAACAAAAAAAGCAAGATGAAGGAAATACAGTGGAAAAATCATTTTCTTGCTCAGTATTTGTATCTTGTTTTTTCATCTAAAGATAAATAGCTAAAAATCCTTACACCAAGAGACATTTACTTGAGAAGTATGATATTATGCTAGATATTGTGTTGTATTCAGATTCGGATTCAATTTGGAAAGTTTTATGGCTAAAGCAAAAAAAGCAAATGGTTTAAAATTTGTTTTTATTTTGTCTTTGATCTAAGTTTTTTTTTTTTTTTTATCCCAGTGGCAAAAGTTTTGAATCATAAATATGTGATATATATCAAGTTGCTTAGATGTTTAGCTGTATTTACTTAAAAAATTCAATTGAAGAGAATAAGGTTTACTAAGTACTAAATTAGAATTGCAAAATAAATAAGTAAATAAACATAGATATTTAAATTGATATACACATGCAGACACTTGCTTTAAAAGTTTGGTACAGTACAATTTTTTAATGTGTTTGAAAGTCTCATGCCCACCAAGGCTGCATAGTTTAAAAGAACAGCATTTATTTAAAATAAAAATCTTTTCTAACATTATAAAATGTTTTTACTGTGACTTCTGATCAATTTAGTGCATCCTTGCTGAATTTATTTCATTTATACATAATATAAATCTAATAAATAAATGAACAAAAGCACTTCTTGCTTCTTACCAGGAGACATAGTCTTCATATCTTTAGGGAATTTTCGACAAACGCTATTGTAGTTGGTGCAGATGTGATGCAGACACCAGGCAGAGAGCTGTTTGGCATTGTGGAACTACAGCAGACAGAAAAGCAGAGTTGGCACAGCATGATTTCTCTCAATGAGGCTCATTTGAAAAGCAAAGTCTGTTCATCCTTTGAACTAGAATAAAGTAGGCTATGAATGAATGGTAATTCTGTAATGTGCGCCATTGGTTATATTGCCACTTCATTACTCAGTGCATTCTATTAAAGGCTTTGTTTGCTTCATCTTTATTAATGTTACCTGAGCCATCTCCAGATAGGCCAGCACATGGCCATCAATGTCCACCCCTTTAACGGACAACTGCAACAGCTCCTCAACGGCATGTTGCTCTGTAGACCATGGCAAAACACCACACAACAAGTGTTAATATGTCAGCCATGAGGCTTAATGGTTAACAATTTGCAAAATACTCCATAACAACAAAATCGTCAACAGTGAAAAATTTCTCACCTTCACAGGTGTATTTTTAGATAATATTTAGCTGTAGATAACATTTATTTTTGTTTATTTATTTTGCTAGTTAGCACCATGTCTAGTAGCTTTGATGAGCTTAAATGCTATCATCTGTAATATTAACCAACATTTGGCTCACAAATTCATGCTGAAAGTATAAGATCTCAGATTATTTTCCTCTCCAGGCCCATTAACCACAGAATTGTACAGTGGTTTTTCAAGGTATACTGTCTGCCTTCGGATACACACAGAGCCATTATTGAAACCTACCTGTTAGAGCTACAAGGCAGGGAAGACAGAGGCGGTTGGCTAGTATTATAAGGTCCATTGGCTCCAGTTCAGGACAAGGTGTTAACACACCACAGTACAGAAACTCCAGAACGGCTCTCATGCAGGCACAACTGGTGTTGGGGATAGAGACCTAAAAAGAGAAACGGAGCGGTGGTTAGCAAAAAAACAGCCTAAATATTTCAAGTTCACAGTTATTAACAAAAGCCCACATTGAGAAAAGTTTGTGTGAAAAGATTTCATAACCCGTGCTGAGGAATGTTTATTCATAGCTCATCTCCAGGACATGGAAACTCGAGAGGCAGATTGATCCAGGGATGAAACAATCTGCTCAGCACCTCTCCCCTATTGAGACCTGCATGGTCCTGGCCGCTGACCATTAGAGGAGGCCTTCGTGTTGACATGGCAGGACCCAAAGTGGCCAAGGAAGCGGTTAGAAAGGGATGAACGTATCCAGAAAGGCTCGTGGAGGAAGGGGCCTGACAGAGCGATAGGAGGGCGAGGGCAGTGGCCACCACAAGGGGTCTTTCATCCTTCAGGAGATTAAAGCACTGTGTGAAACCGTTGAGTCTCAGCTTAAAGCTGTGGAAAAATAACTCTGTGGGCTTGTCGCTACGGGAGACCTGGCCTCTGCATAAACAAGAGCCAACAAGCCAGCCTACAGGAGAGACTGTCATCATATAACAGTGAACACAGAATATGCTTTACAGAACAAATACACAACATTAAGCAAGACTCTGTTCCCATTTACTGATATGGCAAATTTTGTCACCACCAGAACATATTTAAAACAACCACTTGGTGCACCAATTTATTTATGTTGTTTATAACCTCTTAACTTTTAAAAAATACTGTATTCTTCTGCTTTTAATGAATGGATGTACATCATATTAGTACAAGGCCACATTATCTTTCAAAAGTTTGGGGTAAATAAGATGTTTTTAAAGAAAAGACAGTGAAGACAGTTTCATTATGACAAATAGTTTGTTCTTTCTTAACTTGTTAAACTTTCTTAGTTTGTTCTTTCTTCCTATTCATAAAAGAATCCTGAGGAAACACAAAAATGTCAAGCATTGATAATAATAAGAAATGTTTCTTACGCAGCGAATGAGTATTTTAGAATGATTTCTGAATTATGTGACACTGAAGACTGGAGTAATGATGCTGAAAACTCAGCTTTGCCATCACAGAAATAAATTACGTTTTAAAATATATTAAAACAGAAAACTGTTATTTTAAACTGTAATAATATTTCCTAATTTTGAAAGCATTATAATATAAAATCTTACTGACCCCAAACTTTTAAACAGTAGTGCATTTCACAAATACAGTGCAATCCACTTTTATCATCCTTCACAGAAAGTTGCAATTGTTGTGCCATTGTAATGTCATGGTGTAGTTAGGAGCATACATGACACATGACTTAATCTGCCCATGTCCAACACCATTCATAACCAAAATCACGTAAACCCAAGCTTAAAGGTAGAAGTGCTGTTGTTTTGACTCTGCTTTGGCTGGAGGGTGGAGAGCAAACAAAAGCATGCTTATTCTTTCAGCTCCAAGGAACGGCCAATGAATTAAGGGAGAGCTTTCAGCAGGGACACAAAGAGGAAAGTGCAGAGACTGTGAATCAGCCCATGGCAACCTTCTCCTTATGCCGTCGCCATGCTCAGACTAAGCAGTTATTCCTCTGTGAATTAGGACAGGATGCAGTGGATTTAATTGCCTCTAGTATTACCCTGCTTGAGGACTGAACACTTACAGGGTGCAGATGCTTGGAAAACACTAGCACTAGCATCTTGTGAAGGGATTTGTCCAATCACAGGCAAACATCTTTATAATGTTTCAAATAATATTGATCACATACATCCAATTTAGGAATGACTAGACAGTTCCACTTACCCTAAACTGCACCGACCTTCTGCTTCTTGCTTAGTGAGTTGTGCGGTAAACTGATCTTAAATGCATCAAACCACAAAAACTATCACAACAGAATCTGTACTGCTTCCGCCACATGAGTAGGAGGTTGTGGGAACAACGACCGCAAGCTGACACAGATTCTATAGGTCAGAGATGGTACATTGGGGGGTGGCAAGATGACGCTCAGCGGTACTTCTGAAGCCTAGCAGTGCCCTTCACCTGTCTGTCTCAAAGCCAATTAACAGAATGTCAGTGTGAATATGACCGTTCATTATGGCTAAAGGGCAGACTTAAAAGACGCAGAGGGGACACAGTAGGCAACTTCCTATTAAAACCTAAAGATAACAATAGTGCTGTGAGTGAATGGAAATATTGTCTCAATCCTCTAAGCACAAGCAAACAAATCCAAACACATCAAATTCTAGATTTAGCAGAAAGAGTGTACTGTATATATAAGACTGTTTAATATGCATTCAATAGTACTTAAAGTATATGAAGAACACCAATGCTTATGCTAGCCGGAGAACTACTGAATGCACCATTAAATGTAATCTTTAACAATCTGCAAAATAAATATCCTTTTCATACTGAACTTGATACCTAAATTCACTAGTTTTTAGTGTTTTATTTTTAATTGACCGGAATTTCAATTAAATAGTGATATTAATATGCTGTGTTAATTTGTTGTTTCTTGGAAGAGGAAGAATTGAGAAAAACAATGCAACTACCTTGAGAAGAAAATGGGGTCAAGACCCAAGGGAATGCGTGTTACGGAGGAAGTGGTCACCTTTCAAAAGCAACCAGACTCTTTCTCATCAACTAACAAGTTACTGCAGTGTAAACCGCAACCACAGGCTCCGCCTTCATTGTCTCCGTGTTCACTTCATCTTTGTCTCACAGAGAAAATGTGACAGCTTCTCACATTTGAGCTTCCGCTCGGTCTTGCGCTAATCACACTCAGAAGTATGATGTTGCTGAAAGGAATTCTGGCACCTGAGCGTCTCCCGTATGTTCAGACACTTCCTGCCTTAAAAAGCAGGATGTTCAAAACAACAGAGATAGACCAGCAAGACTTACTGAAGAGTGTACTCACATTAGTGATGCGCGGATGAGCTAAAACGTAACCCGAATCCGCAGCTTCAAATAAATGATCCACCCGCCAACCGCCCGCACCTGTATTTTTGTCTGATTTAGATAACCGCACCCGACCCGCACCCGATCATGACATTAGCGTTCGTACGGTCATAACAAACCTGGAAAAGTAATTGAACAGCAATTTCCAGGCCTAGAACGTTTTGTAAAAATAAATAAACTCAAAAAGTTTTTGGAAAGTCATGAAAATCTATTTCACAATTTTCTGTATAATAGAAGTATGTTTAATCAGATCCTGAATTTCGTTGCGGGATTGCGCATACATCGCATTACTCATTCCCGCAGCTTTCGACTTTAAAATGAGGGAAATTACTGCAAAACCTTTATTCAATATAGCGTGTAGGTTAGATGAGTAAATAAATCCACACAAACCATCAGATGAAAACAGCGTGAGTGATTCAGCTGTACCGGGTCTTCTCTCTTTGACTTTCGTTTCACATCGACGCATTTAGAGCTGCTGCACGCTGCGATAGAAGACTTTAGCTCGCGTTTCAGGACAGTTGACAGAATTGTCAATTGCCTGATCGGATCCGCAGCGCCCGCGGATATAACCGCCATCCGCGCATCACTAACTCACATTGAGCTTCATGCAACGTAAACGTACAACATAAAGAGACCTATAAATAACATTAAGATACAGAAGCTGTGTAGATGTCATATGGATTTTTTAAGTTGTCTTCAGTAATAAGTATGTGCTGCCTAACCTCAAAAACCTTGAGATATTTCTGCACAGGACTAGAAGAGTAAAGCTTTTATGTGGTAGATCAATCAAGGACAACTCTTGACTCTGTGCGTCACAAACTGAAGCAACAATAATGTGCAGCAATAGACAAGAAACATTTGAGTACAGACTCTGAAAAATCCACTTATGGGCGAACGATCAGCTTTACTCAACTGAATGACACATTATAAATATTTGCCACCCTGAGGTCTTGCAAGGGCTTTATATCTGGTTATACAACACCTTCTGTGCCGACTGCTGCACAGACAGTGACAAGGGCTCACTCTATTCACAAGCTCATTCTAAAAATAGCACAGTGTTCACAACAACCAGTCGCTACAATGCCTACTGTGCCAGACTGGAGGAGATGAGGACAAAGTCATTTGGCCGCTCTTTGCCTTGCATCATTACAGTAATGTATGGAACAGGCTTAGTTTTTTAACATTTACAAAGCCCACTGAACACTTCTAAAGTGATTGCTGCTCAGGTGCCAAGAAAGAGGCACCAGAGGGACGATTTCAAGTGGCTTGGTAGAATACAAAGAGTTTAAAAAGAAAAAATAAACTTGGTTGCTATGAGTCAATAACCAAACAACCCAATCTCTCCCTCCTTGTGAACTCTTGTTTCTTATGAGATTTCTACTGAAAACACACCAAAACATCTTGCATTAAATATGCTCTGTGCAGAAGAGACAAAAAAAAGTAGCACCGCCTCAAAGATAATTACTGTACTCACTTAATACCAAAATAGACATTAAAGGGATACTCCACCCAAAAATAAATGATCTCTCATTTCCTAACCCTGATGTATATAACTTTCTTCCTTCAAATGAACACAGAAATTTTTTGAAAAATAATCTGTCCACATAAGTCTCGTGAATAAGAGCCTCAACACTTTTGACACTTAAAAAAACACACAAAACAAACACGACAGTAATCCATAAAACCAAATTGATGATTCAATGTCTTCTAAAGCAAAAATAAAGTGGTGTGTGGTCAAAATACTAATATTTTCAACTTTTATATACCTCTATAAATGAACACTTCTGGCCAACTGTCATATGTACGTTCGTTTGATGTGAACATCAGCACATTGTGAAGCGTGATGCAAGCGCACTGTTAAATTTGTAAAAGTAGTGACGGTCCTCTGCACTTCCACTCTGTTTAGTATTTATTAGTATTTTTCTCACACAAAACTCTAGTAAGCTTCAGAAGACATTGATTTATCAACTGGGGTCTTATGGACTACCGTCGTGTTTGTTTTGTGTGATTTGTGAAATGCCAGCTTTGAGGGCATTTGCGTTACATTTTTATAAAAATCTCTGTTTGTGTTCATCTTAAAAAAGAAAGACATGCATATAGGATGGCATGAGGGTAAGAGAATTTGAATTTTTGGGTGGAGGATCCATTTAAAATCAAACCTTGTTATGCTATTATACTCCTTAAAATTCAACGATTGAGCAAAGAGCATGTCAAGCTCGTCAAAGCAGAACCAAGTTTACTTGTCTCTGGCCACCTTGTGTTGATCTCTATGTGACATACTCTCAGCCGATGCTGTCAGAATAGAAAAGCAGCCAGCATCCTATGTCCTGCATCAGTTTGTTCTTGTGCTGTAAATCTAGCTCCCTGTAATGCTTGTAATGTTATACAGGGTGATCCTGTTCACCGGCAGGCCTGGACACTTATAACTCTCAGCCTCTGGTGTTGGTCAGCTTGGTCCCGAGTTCCTGCCCTTAGGGAGCTTGTCTTTCTAGAACTTGAGCTGACAGCCGGTAGCCCAAGGAAATCAGAGAGCGTGCACGGGATAGACCTGGATAGAGTTATGTGCAGGTGAGATGGGCCTCCGAAAGGAATACAGCGAAACCTTACCTTTGACACCTGACTTAATAGTTCTGGATGAAAAATACATGAGCTAAATTTATGCCAAGAAGAAACTGTGATATGTTAGAATAATTCCATAGAAAACAAGTGTAAATCAAATCAAAAACTGTGTGGAATGGTTATCATGTGGTTTTAGTTAAATACCACTTTGAGACCAAAAATCTATGAAAGGTTCACACACAAAAACTTCCTGTACACGTTCACATGACGGTGCTGAGGAAATGACTAGAGGAAGTGCCCAATCTAACAAACTTCCTGTCACTATAAACTCAGCAATGCACTGAAACACACATAAAGATGTGAGCGTGTTTTGTATGAGGGTGTTTTGGTATGAGCACATGCATAATCTAAAGATATCATATCAATATATATCAACTGCTGTTTTGCAAAAGCAAATTACATGACAATGAAATAAGCATAATACAGACTGAAAATAATTACTTGATCTAACTTTACCAGAAAAATGTATTAATATATATTAATATAACTCCAACATGATGTCAAAACTAGTCCAAATGCTAAATTTGCTCTACAATCTCAATCGCTGCAAATAAATCTTTCTAGACCCTTTCTAGTTTGCCTCTCTTGAATATGGGAGCACAGACACAAAGCAGATATATCTCAGCATGTGTTCCCGCTGGCACAGGACCTCCTCTAAAGTCTCAGCATCAGTCTGCCTGGAGCACTCTCCTCAGAGGCCTGTTTAGTACTGCGGGGCTGTTAATTCATCCATATGGATGAGATGGTCTCTTGTCGCAGCTGCATCAATGTGGGTCAGGCTGTCATAGAGGCGGCCTAGTTTTAACTACCTGTGCCACTTTTTTAGTAGGATCTGTCAGAGCTCCAGGGTAGGAAGGATCAAGGTGACTGAAACTAATAGTACTTTGTATTAGTACTTTGTGGTTCCATAAATAAGTTTAGGTGAAACTTTGAGAAATGTGTTGAGCCTAAATCAAACCCATATGACGTAGACCACTGATGTCAAAAATACTGGTACTTTGGTATCTAGTCAATGCTTAGAGAATAGAACCAATAGAAAGATGCTTGGTTTGAAAGTTGCCTTTATGTATACGCTACACTATTGACAATGGACAGTTTTAGTCTGCAAATTCGTGTTATTGCACAATTAGTTTTTTTTTTTCATCTGTCAGTGCAGTAACACAAAATAAACTTTTGCAGACTAAATTTGTCCGTGCAAAAAAAAAAATGTATATATACTGTGTATGTGTATGTATATATAGCATAGATAGTGCCATGCTCTTGCTTTAATGAAATATGAATCACTAAAATCTCTGCTCACCTCCTCAATGTAACTCTCCATGAAGGATCCACGAAACATGGCTGCCATCCAATCACAGCTTGAGATGAGCAGTGGCTTGTGGGCTGGCAGATATCCGTCGTCCAATCGAAACACCACATCTAAAACCGGGAGGAAAAGAGCACACAGCTCGGCGTGTGTCACAGAGTCGAGGCTACAGAGGGGGAGACAGGCGGACAGACGAACACAGAGACAGACGAAGAGACAGATAGACACATAGACCAATAATAAATAGACAGATTGACAAGGCTGATAAGGATAAGAAGACAGAAAATGTGAAGGGAAGGCCAGACTGGGACCATATAGTGGGCAAATTTATTTTAGCAGCAAATTCTTTAGCGACTGACATGGATGACTCTACGAGTTCACTGTGGCTCACTAACTTTGTTAAAAAACAGATGATGTTGGACAGGTTGTTTAGCAGTATGCTGTGGGTATCAGGAGGGCATGATGGGGAAAAAAGCACCTAATTCAATTCAATGCAGATTTCTACTACTGCAAATAAATCTCTAATGATTCAGTTTATAAACTTCTGCATACCCATAGGGAATGTACAAGTAGTCTTCAGGCCACAACGGAGATGAAAAACGTTCTGTTTTTCAAACATGAGAGAAGCACCTTCATGGTTGGGTAATGAGATTATGACAATTGCAGATGATGCAATGAAATTAACAGGTGTAAGTGGAGAATAAAGGAGTGTTGAAAAAGGTTAATTATGACAAACATGCACACAACATACGAGACGTGACATCAACAGAGAGTAAGCGACACAGAAACCACAAAGCAGAAAAGCAAACACGTCCACAATATGCAAATATTCACTGACAGCAATGAAGGGATATTTTAAAGCACTCCACTGGGTATTTCCTTAAAAACAACAAAGAGACTGAATGAAGGAAAGGAAAAACAAATGGACTTTTCTAGAGTATGAACTATTCTATTTCAATTCCACTGAATTCTGGAATTGAAAATAGAACTCATGAGACTTAAGTCAATGGTGTCACTACAAAAGCCTTTAGAATGTGACACACTGACAAGTAATAGAAATTAACTACCCAATAACACCAGAACTTCCTGAAGAGTCTGCACTAAACAAATTAGGACAGTTAATTAGACAAAAAATCAGTGAGAACTGTCCATTAATTTATCATTCCCTCAACAGCAGCTTTTAAGTTGCTTGGTAAAGGTTATTTTTGTTTGGAGAAAAGGCTTGATTCAGCTTCTCAGTGTAAAAGGATAGAACAACAGATAGCAGGGTAATTTATCAGGATACGATAATTACAATTTGCCAGGACATTTGGGTCACATTTGGGTTTCCTTGTACGCACTGTGTTCTGGTTGTTAGATAGATCCGACATGAATGCTTCTTCACATAGATATATATAATACATAATGTTTGACCCTGATTTCAGATTGCCTACCAGCAAAGGTGCCCTTGCTCAGGCACTCTTTGATGCGGTTGGCACGACGCACATGGAAGGCTTTGGTGATCTCTTGGTTCATGAAGCTCTCACGGTTCAGGACATTGGCCACCATCATACGAAGGTCGAAGACCTCCAGAAGCTCGGCGATGGTGGCCACCTGCATCAGATCCCCACGTGTCTCATCCAGGTGACCCGTATAAAGGTACTGCAGCACTGCCTGAAAAAGCAGAGTTAACAGGGATAACAGATAATTTGACACTGTCATAGAAACTTTATAGATATATCGATTGAGAATCTTATTAAACATGCTATCGATCGTGTCACTTAAGTTTGTTCTTACCTGGAAAGGCCCTTTCTGAATAAGATCATCCATTGACACTACTGTCATGAGTCTCGGCCGACCTGTCACAGGGTCATCCACCATCTCTAGGTATACCCCCAAGAAACCACGCCCCCATCCCAAAAGAGCACGGCCTGCTCCCAGGGGTCCTATAGAGGGCTGGCCCCTGGCAGGCAGAGCGTTATCGCTCTGTGAAGTCCTCAGTGAGCCTTGCTGTAACATGAGCAGCCTATCTGAACCCCTAGTGCCTCCTTCACCCTCCTTATCAATGTCCAGGCTCTTGGTACGCCCAGCCTGCTCTTTGGCTCCTCTTCGGCTTTGTTCCTCTTCCTCGCTTCCCTCTGAGCTCTCCTCACCCTCCTGCTCCATCCCTGCCTCTCCAAGATCCATAGTGAAAAGGTCATAGAACTTTGAGCAGGAAGTGGCCAGGTACACCTTATGGGCAAAGACATGAGTGGCCCCGGCCTGGAGGAGAAACAGGATGTCTGCACACAACGGTTGGCAGAAAAGAGAGTCTGGACCTTCTCCATCAATGGAAGGAGGATCAGGGATGCCCACCACAGGTCGTGGTGGTCTGGGAGGAAGAAAGGGGGCCTGGAGGAGGGGACGCTGAACCTTCTTTAGATGGGACTTCCAGAACTGAAGGTGGCGTCGAGAGATGAGCGCAGCACGGATAGCATTGTCAAACACATCCTTTACACCGAACTGAGCGACGATGCTTGTTTCATAGTATGGAATGCCAAGTTCCTTAGCGACCTCATGGCCTCGTTCTGGGGGAAGAATGTCTGTGGGCTTGATGGGTCTAAGAGGAGAGAGTTGAAAAAAAAGGAAAGCATTATTAAAGCCAGACAGAATATATACACTACCATTCAAAAGTCTGGGGTCTGTAACATTTTTTTAAATTAAAAAAAAAAAAAAAAAAAAAAAAGTTTGGTGAGTCTCTTATGCTCACCAAAGCTGCATTGATTTAATCAAAAATACCGTAAAAACAGATATTGTGAAATATTATTACAATTTAAAAGAAGTGTTTTCTATTTTAGTGTATTTTCAAATTGAAATTAATTTTGAGCAGCCAATTCTCCAGCCTTCAGTTTCAGATGATCCTTCAGAAATCATTCTAATATGCTGATTTGATGCTCAAGAAACATTTCTTCTTATTATCTGTTCTCTATTATAAGTGTTAAAAACTGTTTTTCTGCTTAATATATTTGTTGAAACTGTGATACATTGTTTTAGGATTTTTTGAAAGTTTATTTACTGTAGATAGAAATCTTTTGTAACATTATAAAAGTCTTTACTGTCACTTTTCAGACACAGATCAGTTCATTTAATCAATTTTGATTTAATGCATCCTTGCTGAATAAAAGTATTCATATTTTAAAAGTATAAAAAAAATTAATTCTTACTGACCCTAAACTTGAACGATGGTGTAAAATATATCTGATTCTTTTTCATTTTCTAGATTTTTTTAAAAGTTATTTATAATACATAATCAGATTTGTATTCTATGTAAATGTGTCCATTTTGTCAATCTAAACTATTACAAAACTGATTTATAGATATATGTTGAATGATATTAGGGCCAATATTTTTAATTAAAGGGATGCCATAATAGCAACAGACTATGAATTTAGATCGGCCTAAATTATGAGGAATAGCAAAGATGTTTACAACAGAAAGAATAACTAATTACAAATACTGCCATGAATTTCAATAATTATTTAACAAACTATAGTAACAGCAGCAGCAACATGCCACTGGGAGACTTTTGTCCCAATTCTGAGGGTCTATCTTGAACTTTTCACTTCAAAATAAAAATGTTTGTTCACATATAAACCTAAATGAATTACTATGTCCTCAAATCCATTATTAACAATAAATACAGAAAATTTCTACATTTACAGAACTGACTACAAACGTAAAAGCACAATAACAATACAATAACCCTCGCAAAACGGAAGCCCCTAAAAAACTTTTCATGCTGAAGTTTAATAACAGAATATGTGCTACGAGTGGGTGTAGGATGTGGTCCGTACTTGGCCAGAGGCCGGCGAGCCCTGTTAACAGCGTCCAGATCAGCATAGCGCAGGTCCAGCTGGCAGCCCACCAGGATGATCGGGGTGCGGGGGCAGAAGTGCTTGATCTCAGGGAACCACATGGTGCGAACATGGCGCAGGGAGTTCGGATTGGCCAAAGAGAAGCACAGCACTACCACATCTGATCTAAACACACAAAGAGAAAGAAATCGGTTTATTTTAAGAGAATACATCCGAAGAAATCATGTAATAGGCAGGAAATTGGCAAACCCTGGACACTAATCATCCTACACAGAGTGGACAGTGAATCACTGTTTTTGGAATAAAAACTGTGAAATGCAACAAATAATCATAATCAGTCTTTTGTGAAATGAAAACCGTGGTAAGACCATTTTCCCAGAGGCATGAACAAACTTCATAAAGAAACAGTGAGTGAGCGAGCAGCCAAATAGATTAATGATTGTTAGATTGTGTGTGTATTAATGCATGTGTGCTCTTCCAGTGAATGTGTGAGCACACAAGGTGTTGTGCAAGTCATTAAAGCATCTCGTCTGACTCAATAACCAGCGCTGGTCGTATAATAGTGAGATGTCCGAGCATGTCATATTTCACAGCTGCACTCACAAGCTCATCATGTGAGACCAGCATACACAAGAATGACTAATGGAGCACCGCATTGTTGTTGAAATGTAAACAGACTTGGTCTAGCAGATTTTATCACAGTTATGCATTTACATGGTGCTCATGTGCATGTTTATAGATATAATATGACAGCCAATGTTTCTCAGACAACATTTCTAAGATATTTTCTAAAGTTATAATCTTTCTAGAAAATACTTATTGATAAATAAAGTGAAAATCTAGAGGTACTTTCTCAAAAATGTTGTTTTATTATTGGCAAACACCTCATGTGTGATGATTAAACAAAGGAATTTCCTGAAAACATAAAATTACCAAATTGGACCATTATAACATTACTTCCTTTGGAAATACTTGATTTTTTCTATGTATGGTAATGTTAGCATTACAATAGGATTGCCCATATTTGCCCATTCCCATGTTTTTGAAAACATAATGAAAGCGATTCCAATGATATCGTTCCTCTAGTTGTGATGTGGACTCTGTTATTCTTAGAACCATTTTTAAAACGATATCTTTATTGTTATAGTTATCATGCTTAATGTGAATGGGCCTTAAGTCTCTTTACTAAACTAAGACACACTAAAGTATATGTGCAAATAAACCTACTGTCTCCAGGGGTCAAAGTCGACATCCCAGTGTCTGTGTTTCTGCTGGTGTGTGTATGTGGGAATGGGAACGTTTGCAAGAATATGTGGAAATGGGTCAGAGTTAAGGCAAATAAAAAAACAAAACACAGACTAACACATCTGCAGATCTATCCACAACCATTCACCATCTCTCAGTGAATAATAACCGCTTGTGCTGTAGAAGCGAGTGCTGAGGGTCATAAAGGACTGTGTTATGTAATCAGTGCGTGTGGTGTTCTGTAGAGATATGTAGAGCATGTCTAAGTTCAAACTCCTGACTGCGTGTCTGCTTGACTACACTAGTGTAAACAGTGTCTTGATCACAGACACATATTTAAATATATAAATAAGTCTAAACATTCTGAGAACAACAAAGAAGACAAAAAGCATAGTACATTGATGGTATAACACGGTAATTTAACATTGATTTACCAATCTGTTCAAAATGACCTTTTTCTATATATGCATGCATGATGCATATATTTATGTATAAATATGTGTTAGCCCATGGGAGCAGGGCTTCCCCGCTGAGTCATGGTTCCTCCAGAGATTTCTAAATAAGTTTCACAATGTGTTTTGTCAATTCCCGTTCACAAATAATTAATGGCCTCAGCTAGGCTTTGATAAACATTTTCAAGAAATGTTAAATGTGTCTGTGTGGGTGTATATTTAGCTTAAGTAATAGACACCAGGGGTGAAGGTCACCTGATTTTGTGTTTCCATAACAGGGCACCACCATTAATAGTGCTTTATCAGCTGACTGCATCTGCCTCAGTACTGTGCACACACACTGGACGTGTCTGATCTCAGACACACATCCTGTGGATTAATTCACACAGATTTCTCTGTCTTCCGCTCTCTTTCTCTCTGTCTGCCACACAAGTACATACTACAAACACACCACATTCACAACGCTATTACATTGTTAAATTATTGGATGAATTATATAATCAAAACCTTAGTTGTCAGGACCTCTTAGTCTACCAAGTACACTGCTGTTAAAAAGTTTGGTGTCAGTAAGATTTTTTTTAAAGAAATTAATACTTTTATTCAGCAAGGATGCAATAAATTGATCAAAAGTGACAGGAAAGACATTATACAAAATATTTCTATATCAAATAAATGCTGTGCTTTTAAACTTTTTATTCATCAAAAGTTCCTCAAACCACAAATATATAAAACAGCACAACTGTTTTAAACAATGATGATAATAAAAATTCTTTCTCAAGCAGCAAATCAGCATATTAGAATGATTTCTGAAAGATCATGTGACACTGAAGAATGGAGTAATGGCTGCTTTTTTCAAAAACATTAAGACATTTTACTGACCGCAAACCTTTAAATGGTAGTTTATCTGATGTGTGGGTATTTTGTTTGGTCAAAGATCTGAGCTGGTAACACAAAATGCCACAGGTTAATAGCATTTACTGAAAAACACTTATGATTAAGAAAAATTTATTTGAAGGAATCTCATACATCTGCTAAAAAGTATTTAAAAATTACTCTAATTGCATCAGATATAGCATAATTTGTTTGCAGATGCCATGTTGTTTGATATTGTGCATTTAATGCAACGAGATTCCTATATTTGAAGTGTGACTTAGATGTCCAAATACTTCTGGGAAGTACTGTAAGAATTTAGGAGCAGTGTCAATCTCCCTCATTCTCTGACCCCATCTCACTTTTTGGCTCAGCGGCTACTGTGATCTGCTGCACTGGCCTGAGCCAAAGCACCACTGCTGATCCACTGATCCTCCACTGCGCTGAGAATAAGAGCCTCCACGCAGTACTCTTTGGCTAGGCTTACAGCACATTACCTTCACAGCTGGGAGGATCAGGGCAATAACCAAACCTTGGCAGGGCAACACATGCCACAGCCAATAGTGGAGAGACACCAGAACAAAAAAACAGAAGATTGATCTGAGGAACTGTATTGTGGGACGTCAAGTGTTTGTGTATCAAGGGGTTTAGTGTGCCATGGCCTAGTGGTTAACACACATGCCATGACACTGAGCACTATGAGTTCAAATCCAGCTCCATATTGTGTAACTGACCTGCCATAAGCGAAGCGTCTATCTTTGTGATGATCTCCAAATGTGTCCCACAGCCTGAGGGAGACACTGACCTCGTCCACCACATCTCGTGACCTCTCCAGCACCTAGACAAAACACTTTTGTTTAATTGTACCAGTACACCAATGCAAACACATTATATTCATACTACTGTGCAATGTAATACTAAGTCAATTAAATTTTAAATACAATTCTTATTTTAAATATTTTATTAGTATATTTCATTTTATATTCGTTTTAATGAGTTTAATATGTATAATTGCACACAACACTTACAAATGCATATACAAATAAATTATATATCTCACAAAATGTGTTACTGTATAAATACACTGCTGTTCAAAAGTTTGGGATCAGTAAGATTTTTGATGTTTTTTAAAGACGATTCTTTTGCTTATAAAGGCTACATTTATTTGATAAAAAATACAGAAAAACAGTAATCTTGTGAAATATTATTACAATTTAAAATAACAGTTTTCTATTTGAATATACTGTAAAACATAATTTATTCATGTAATGCAAAGCTGAATTTTCATCATCCATTACTCCAGTCTTCAGTGTCACATGATCCTTCAGAAATCATTCAAATTTATTAACAATATGCTGATTTATTATTAATGTTGGAAACAGTTGTGCTGCTTAATATTTTTGATACTTTTTTCAGGATTCTTTTAATAAAAATTAAAAAAGACCACATTTATTTAAAATTGAAATGTTTTGATTATACGTACATATTTAAAAAAAGAATATAACAAAAATAGTTAAATAATGTAACATAAATAATATAACAATAATAGTTAATTACACTAGTTAATGTAAGTTTTAAGTGCGCGCGTTTGTGTTTGTGTGTATATACAGTGCACAGTGTGGCGGGGA